GTGTGGTTATTTAGCAATGGTAGCTATCACATGTAAACTGCCCAGTTTCATTAATTTAAAAACATTTGCTGCTACTTGAAATAAAATGAAACACTTCCTGTGTGCAAGTTTTCCTGCAAACCCCATAAGCCATGCAAAGTGTAAGGTCATCAAATTTACTGGAACTGCTTTTATGTAGTGACTGTAGGCTGATTTACTGTTTTTGTCAGTTGCTGTTAGAAAGTAGCAAAATGGAAACCGTTTTCTATGAAAAAGTCACAAACTCTCTTCAAGGGACTGGTAAAAAACATTGAATGCATTCTTAAGGTTTACCTTTAGGACTCTTTAGTCTCCACTATCCTAGGAATCATCTTCTGGTAGTATAAAAAGGAGATTTTGTTAAATGTGATGAGTCTCCCCTGTAGACTTGTGTTTACCCACTGCCATATCTGCTCTCTTCTCAGCTTTAACTGCAGGACAAACCACTACTGGTTCACCTTGTCTGTTTCCCTGTCTCACTCTCTGCATGTGTCTGTATTTTTGCTGTGTTTCAGTACTGGGCTAGATGCCAGCAGACCTCCTGCTCCTACTTACTGCTTCTACTTCAGCCCCTCCTGACTTAGGAGAGACAGTTATTGTTTCTGCATCAGCACTTAATGGCTCAGCTGGCTGCTTTTGGTCTACCCAACTTGTCTACCTCTTTTTTTTTTTCTGTCAGACCCCTAGCTGCTGTGGGCCCATTGCCAGACTTGGAGCTTTAAGTACTTTAGGTTCTCCTTCCTGCTCTGTCTGTCTTTGTCTGTCTACCTGCCCATTAGGGTTTGGCGATACTGTACATCCTCTTGTCAGCTGATCGTCATCACATATAAAACTGATCCCTTATGCATTAATTCGTGCCAGGGGACTTTTTTTCTGAAAAGTAGTGGAACTCTTCACTCATGACTTTAATGTGATTGTGTGGAGTAGAGGTGTAAACTTAAACTTTAATAGCTGTTTTAGCACAAGTCACAGTGTGTATGCTGTACTGTACCTCCTCCTCTTATCTGCTTCAACCTTCGTTTTGGTCTTATAGTATGCATCAACCAAATGCCAGATATTGTTAGTTCTTAGGCCTCACCTCCAGAAGTTGAGGCAGTTACAAATTCTGTATAAGCTCTTAATGGGGTTTCTCTGGATGTTTTATAAAGTTCAAGAGCATACATCAAAAAACATATTCCTTCCCCTTCTTCATATAACTTCTCATAACGTTTCAGTGTTCCCATGTGAATGTCCTGGCTTATTTGAAATTTAAAAGAAAACTTTTCCATAGGATTAGAAATGAAAATCGCCTACTATTGCTGAGGTATTATCACAAGTGTTTTGTGAATGTACGCTAAACACTGTGCTTCTTGTTTTAAAATGTAGATTCGCCTGGTCTAGCATTATAGGCGAACAACTTTCCCATACCATTCCTCAAAGCAATGAGAGCAGGACATGTTGGAATGTGTAAAACATGGCTTTCAAGTCTGCAGATGTCCTGCGCACACACACACACACATCCACACACGCAAAGACATACTGAGACATGTGCACGCCAACTATTGAGGTATGCAGAAAGCAAAAAAGGACCCTCCACATCCCATACCGCCCCATCAATGTGTGCTTTTTCATTTTTCCTTTCTTATTTCTTTACTGACTATCCATATCTTGTTCCCTTCGTATTTTCCACACTCTCCTCAGCGTTCAGGATGGCAAATCCAGCTGCCCATGGGTGCCCTCACAGTGTTTGATGGAGTGCCGTAGCCTTTGGCCCCTAGCTGTGTGTTTATGTACTTCTTGCACCTGCCCTTGCTTGAAGAGTAACAGCACCACACACATTCACTCACTAAGTCACACACAGTAACACGGAAACAACACACACGCCTGGCTGTAATACACACACTAATGCATCTTGCATACATAAACCAAACTGAATACCACTGCTAAGTCGACAAACTACCAGCCATTGTGCTTTTCCTCTTCCTGTGTACCCCAGTTTTTTATAGTCTTAACAGCTGGACAAAACATTGTCCAGAGCCCCCCCACGCAACAACCAGCACCCCAGCAGGTGCACCATGCCCTTTAGGACATCTACGTGGGCAACAGGGGATATGTTATAGTGATACCCCTAGTGCCATTTATCAAAGAGCAAGTAGAGTAGAGGGAATGGCCCCTGTCATGTTCCAGATTGGCTTGCTCTTTTAACATCTCCATCTTTTCCAGAAAGAATGAAGGACTCAAGGGAACACTCAGTATATGTGGAGGCCTACTCATCACCGCTGCAATCATTTTTCCTGGTCACAGGATCTGGATATCCATTCTCTACAATGGTCTGTTCTTAGGGTTGATGGGTCATGTGTTTTCAGGTTCACTGGGACACACTCAATAATGTAGCCAAATGTCTGGTACAGTCCTTTTATGGCAAATATATGTAAGCTATATTGTTTCCAGGAAGCCTAGCTTTTATGTAGTGCCTGTGTCATTCTCTATCTTTCCCTCTGGTACTGGATCACATCAAATAACCCAAATGTCTCTGTGTGTACATATGTGTGTATCTGTATGTGCATGAGCTTGCACTTACATGCTTTTCAAACAGTAAATATGGTGATTTTTATTTGGTAAACAGATAAATGAGATGATGATTAAATTCATCTCAAACATTGTGAAAATTAAAAAAAATTCCAAACCACTTCTTTAACAGTTTTCTAAAACAGTATACTATGTTGTGAGAATCTGGCCTTGAGTAAGATATCGATTGTTTATTTGGGCCCTGGGATGAAATAACTCACATAAAGCAGTTGCACACTTTATATAGAACATCTGTCCTATAGACAGAGGGAGCTGATAGAGAAACAGGTAACCAAAGCCACAGAGAGACGCACAGCTCTGCTCAGTTTGACCTGCAGATGTATTAAGTAGCAGGCAGGGAGACACAGGGAGGGTTATTAACGTTCCCATCTTCCATCTGGGCTGATAGAGGGCCTCTCAGACAGCAGGTGAAGAGGTTGCTGGGTAATTTGTCTGAGAGAGAGAAAGAAGGGAAGTCAGTGGTTAGGGATTTTAGCAATTGCCAGTAATTCCCTTGGTTAAATGTGCTGTCTGTGTATATGCATCCACTTGAATCCCGGCTGTATCCACACCGGCCTGCTGTTTTACATTAAAACTACCTTTAAAATATAAATTTATGTTGATTTGGGATTAACAACTGCAAACAATACATGCTAATTTTGGTGTAAAACAAGATATTGATAGTCCAGATTTTGGATTACCTAAGTAAGTAAAAATTTGACCAGTAGCAGTTTGACTGAACAGAGGGAAAAGATAAGGGAGTAAATGAAGTTTGGGAGAGAAAAATGGAAGAAGAACGAAATGGAAGCAGAATAGTCAGAGAGGAAGTGGACGTGGAAAGCTTATAGATGACAAGACCAGCTTTTTTCTCATCGCTTCAGGAGCTGTTGTGCTTTCATAGCCTCTCTGGTAGCACCGCTCATCTGTGTCTTATTAATACAAAACACACGGGTAGGCGATAAATCCCTGGTAACCAATCCATCTGTTTCAATTATTCTTCATCAATTTTTATGTATTTGTGTTTATATTTTCTTTTGAGTTTGTCTTTGCTGTTTGTTCTGCCTCTGTGATTTGTTGATCTTAGAGTCAGTGGGCCAGCATTTGACAGAAAAAGCCCCACTGGGTTGTAAACTTAGTCAAAAAGCGCTATGGACACTTGTAGGAAATGAAGTGCTATCACTGTAAGAGGGGATTATTTTGAGAAGTAAAGCCTTATTGGAACAGGTGATGTAAGAATTTAATGTGATTCCCTCGGACAGTTCCAGCTCACTGGAAGAATGTAGCATGTGATGGATGGATCCTCCTCTCCTCTCTCAACAGGCGGTTTGGCACAGAACTCCCTAAACTCTACAGTATCTTTTAGCCATCCAGCTATTTCTCCCTCCTCCTCCTGTTATGTGTTTGAAATAGCCTCTCACCATAGAAATAACATTGACATATCATAATGGCGAGTATGTAATTCCCCCCCCCTTACCACAGTGCAAACTGTTTCATTTTGGAAAGATGGCAGACGGAAGGTTCTTCCACACTAGGCTGCCATTAAGAGAAATAATCATAGAGTGAAGAGCACTTGAGGCTCCTGTGATGTAATGCTGGTGTTAGGTGAGTTGTAGCTGACACTAAGCTGGATGCCGACATAACCGTATTAGATATTGTTTTGGAAAGATATATCCTTTATATTGGGCTGCTACTCATATTCCTAATAGTCCCTGTTATTTAATTTAAAATGTTCAAGTCATTCAACCTAGTGGATTTACTGGGAACTTGTAAAACAGTTAGAACAAGCACTTGACAATTTAAGGGTTTTTATCTCTTTTAATATCCTTCCTGGGCACCTTTTAAAAGCAATATGGCTGTAATGTCGGAACTTTGCTGTAGTGTATCCAAACTCCCATCAATATACTGCGAATGTTTTCACAGGAAGCTTTCTAATTCCAGAGGGAAAACACAAATAAAATGTGCCCCTTGTAAGCTTTCAGATCCTGTCAGCTTTTACTCACAGATAAATACACACATAAAAGTAAAATAAATTTACTAGGGACTGAAGTCAGGTGCTAATAAAGGCATATCGTACATTACAGTAAAATGTGTTATATGGATTGTAGCTTTGGGGGACTGTTCACTTGTTTTAACAAATGTTTACAGCTTTATTTGACATATTTATCATGGCATAGGGACACAACCACAGGTTAACCTTGGAAACAGAGGGCACCACTACTATCCCTACCAGAGCTTAGATAAACACAACACACTCTGCCTGGTGATACCTGTGTTTAAGAGCACCTGGTTTCTCAGAACTTTGGGAGGGACGGAGAGGTAAAGAAAGGGGTCAAGAACAATTAAAGGCCAATCAAGTGTTTAACGAAGCCACGGCAGCGGTGTTTAAACCTGCCGGACTGCACTTCATTTTCACTTTGTTTTTTTTGTTTTATTAGGTGTGAAGTCTCCAGGCCCGTCACCGACTCTCGAGGGCTCGGTCCAAAACCTGGAGCTGAAGTTCTGCAGCCGTGCGACGGTGAAATGCGCCTCAGGAACCGTGGGAGCTGTAAAAGTGTGCGCCAGGACCCCAGGTGTGTGCAGCTGTGCCCTGTTAAAACTTTACTGCCTGTGTAGGAGGGAGAGAGTGAGACCGACTAGACTCTTCTTTTACTTTCTTTAACTTATACGTTTACACACTCCTCTCTGTCTCTCTTCCTCTCTTTTTCCCGCTCAGTCTTTGTCTTGATTTCTTTCCAGCTGTGTGATTCAGTTGCTGTTTTCTCCTGGGGCGCTGTCATTGGGCTCTGGCCATGTCTTTGATGGCAAGGATGTTATTAGAGCTAGTGTCATAGCACAGAGTTCACAAGGTCAAACTGCACTGCACTGCAATGATGTCAGGCAGATTATAAGATCTATTGCAGCTGTCAATATAGAAATACAGAGAAAAAAAGCATGTGCAATTAATTTTCTTATTTCAAAATTAACATCTATATATATATATACATATTTGTTGCAACACACTGCAGTTTCGACATGAATAATATGTTCTCTTTGTGCTGATGGACAGACTTCTTGATTTTCTGACAAATGCTACAATTAGTTTTAACATGATTACTTTATTATTAAAAGCCTTTAGGCACAAAGTTTCAATATTTTGTGTACCCCTATTATCATTTAGTCTGGGACACTAAAACATATGGATGACTTATACACGTGTGCAGTGAGAAAAAGGCTGTCTGTGAAGCATTCGAGAAGAGCTCTTGCTTTTATATTTTGTATCTTCTTGGCCACATTATTAAAGATTATTATTATTATATATTTTTTTTCATCTGAGGATGTGAGTTATTTGTATTGATTTTGATCACTAGGTATTTTGTACTATGCTAATTAGCCTCTAACTCTTGTCTCTTAGGTTCAGGAGAGGGGGTTAAGGAGAAGCTGGTTCCTCTGATTCAAGGCCCATCTGACACCAAAGAACTCCATATGAGCCGCTGGCTTAACGAGATTCGCAAGCCTGAATCTTTGCTGGCCCCTGACCTGCTGGCGTTTTCTGTTCAAGTCCCTCAGCAAGGAGATGATTGTAGGAACTCAGGTAGAAGCTGCTGAAATGTTTTACGTGCATACACTACAGTCTCTCTTCTCCTCTCCCCTTCGCTTGCTTTTCATCTATCAAAGTACATTATTCTGTGGTACAATTTCTTACTGAACCTGTGTATTTTCTAAATCACAAATCACCATCCTGTGTTGATATATTAGTTTTTTAGCTCATTTTCCGGACGTGGTTGTGGTGTTTGGACTTGTTACAGGCACTGGTAGTCCATATTCCATCTCAATTATTGGTGATCTAATGCAAGAGTCTCGGTTTGTTTAGGTCGTCATATTTTCCTTCCTCCCATAATGTCACGCAATGCCCCCTTTCAGTTATTTGTTTAGTAAAGCCGATAAGTGTTTTCCACTCCAGTATCCTTGAGGCAGGGTTGGCAACTCTTCTTCTCTTTGCAGGCAGCATGAGTTCTCTAAACAGCAGTTAGTCTCTGTCAGCGCTGGGCTGAGCTGGCTAACAACAGCTAACCACTGGAGGATTGCTGTTGAAGGCTGCACTGATGTCAGGTTGCAATTTTTGATTGCGTCCTTAGACCACAGATTATATTTCTGGTGTCAGTGCGAGTGTGTTGGTGTGTGCGTGTGTGTTTAGAGGGAGGGTGTGGGGATTATTCAGTAGCCCTTCCAGAAGACAAAAAAATGTTCAAATCAGTTTCCAAAACTCAAAGTGGTGTAGTACTTGATTTAGTAAGTTGGATATTTAATGACTACAACTCTGTGCGTCTCATGTATCTACAGCAGTAGCCAGGTATGTCCTCATCTATACGGCATGGTCTCCAATGTTCTTTCAAGCAGAGATGGCTCCTGTAGTCTTCTGTGAATGAGGCCATGAATATCAGTATGTCATCACTAGCCTTTTCTCCCCACCTGCAACTGCAGCTAGTTCTCCTATCAAGCAGCTCTACTGGGCTCCCAGGGAAGATTGAAAGTAGATGTACTTGACAGTCTCTCCTATGTCATGGCCTTCAATTGCTCCCAAGTCTCTAAAAGCCCACAAAAGATGAGTCTCTCAAAGTCTCAAAGTACACTCTGGGCTGTTATCCCGCAGCCCCCTCCTGCCCAACAGCAGATACAGGAGAAGCCTGGGGTGACAGTGTAAAACAATACACCTCCAGTATTTGTTTTCAGAGTTGTCTACAGAGTCACAACTGTACATCACTTTTAATGCAGGGCTGCGGAGATTCATCGTGTGGCCTTGACTTACACAAACCCCCAAACCAGGCCCTGAATCACATCAGGCTCCTGGGCCTTAAACATGTCAGCGCTAAGATGGCGATAGAGCAGGCCTCAGGTGGTTTCAGACTGTGAGGAGAAGATACAGCTGTAGCTTAGGGGCGTAGTGAAGTAAGAAGATAAGTACGGTTTTGAGACAGTGGATTTGGGAGGTCATCCCAAACCTGGAATTCCATTGCTGTTTGAATGACACCCAGTCAATCACTGTCCCATTGCTAGCGAACAGAGCACCAAGGCACTGCTATAAATTGAAAATGTAAGGCAGGGAAAAGCTTACATTTCATAGGCAACTCACGGTTTGATAAATGTGAGGACAGCCGTTGAATAAATTTCCTGAAAGTTGCAATGACATAAGAGTACATTTTAAAATCAACGTTGTATTTCTGACAAGGGGTTGTTCCACCCTTTACAGCCTCACCGACATAGATAGATATTTTTAGGAACTCTGGTAAATTCTATTTAGTGCACAGCCTCAGACTATTACTTTGATTTAGAGAGCATATTATTTCAGCAAAGCAATGGCTCATAAAGACAGTACATATTTTTGAATATTAAAACCTGATCTGAACACAAACCAGAAGACCAAAAGGAAGCAAAAAGAGGGGGAGAGGGAAAGAAGATGAAGGTGAAAGTGTGGTGGGGGGGCTGACTCCCAGAAGCACTGCATATATCTCCAGCAGATGTGGAGCAGTGGAGGCCTGCACTCTTTCTCATCACTGCCTCACTACTCCTCTTTTTTCCACTCTTCTGTTCTTTGTTTCTTGCTTTCTCTCTCGCTGTCTGCATCTCTCCTCTGTCTCTCAACCTTCCTTTTAATCTCACATCTAGAATACTCATGCATACAGTTTCTTAGAAGTCTGACAAAAGATAAATTTCTAATTGGCTGCTGGTAGGTACAAACGAACAAACCTTTATGAATAAAAGTAATTTCAATAAAAAAAATTTTGTTATATTTTGAACACAAAGGGCCACACAACAACTCACACACACAGTATTTCTGCCAGAAATTTTGCTTTTATCTGCCATATACCTGTCAATACAGTCAAAACTGTAGACAGCAGCGTGGCTTGACACTAACAGTTTCACCAGACTGAAACATTTCTCTCTCTGTGCGTGTGTGTTGTGTCAAATATGCTGCTGAAGGAAGAGCTTGCAAAGTGTGTCTCTCTCTCTCTGTGTGTGTGTGGTGTGTGGCTGTGGCGCTGTGCTGTGTCGTCTGTGCTGTGTGCTGGTGCGCTGTGTGTGTGTGTGGTGCGTGTGCGTGTGCGTGTGCACGCGCACACAGGCATTTTTTGGGTGTCTACTTATAGGTCTGTGTTTTGTATGGTGGTCAGGCTTACATCAAAGCTTTTGGTCAGTCCACATGTCCCGTGTCCCTGCTGTCATCCAGAGGGTGACTGGGAGCCTGTTAGAGCAGTGTTAATGGAATGATGGATGCAACGCCTCATTCAGCCAGAGATGAAAGGTGGAGTAGCACCACGCAGAATGGGCTGCACCCTTTGCTCCCATAGGACCGACTTAGAGGTTCAACATTTTGTGATCATGACATTTCTGAATTGTTGGAGCACTTGGCCTTGGCATCAAACACATTTTATTCGTCCCATGTGGCTCTGTTGATTCCATTTAGCAAATTCTTAAAGCGTGATCATTATACATCGAGCGTAGGACTTGGGTAGGGGTGTAAGAGAAAAGCTAACTCCTTACACCATAGACATACTGAAAACATTAGGATATAATGAGCCACAATCAACTTTTATATTCTATTTTACATTTGATTAGTCGCTTCTGGTTTTTGTAGGGATGCAACGCAAAGCACACCAGTCCTGTGGGATCTGTCCGCCCAATTCTCCAAGCATAATATTTATTTAAGGAAGAAAGCGGGAGATTATTGGTAATCGACATCAAGCTACCAACGTGTAGTCACAGAAGTGTTTGAATATATATACTCACACGCCATGGTGCTTTCACATACATATAGCTTATTTCCATGTACTGGTGTGTGTGATTGACTGCAGTGGATTATAAATTGAGAGAAGCCTTGCCTTGCACTGTTTCCCCACTGGTCATGTATGTGTGATCTCTGTGTTGTCTCATTTCTTAGAGGATGTGACAGGCTCTGGAAATTGCCAGCACTTTCCTTATGGATCCTTTAATTCATCCCAGAAGGCATTCCTCCATTTATTCCATTTTCCCTTTTTTTAGAGCTCACAAAGGCCCATATCTCTGAGGTCACTTGTGATACAATATATTTGGACTAATAGACAGCTAAATTCTATACTAATGGCCAATCGTGCAAGTCTACAGCACTTTTGCCTTGGCCTCTTTTGTATGACACATTTTTCTGCCTGAAATAATTTTAGAAACCTCAAAGCAACCTCAAATGGGGAATGTTACTTTTCGCTGTTCTGAAGTAATGATATATTGAATAATTGAATGCATAGTCCTGCAATTTAATGGCAACTTTGACACATGTTTTAATCTTCACTCCGTCTCACTCGCTCTTTCATGAAAAGTTAATTCACCAAGGAGATAAGTTCCTTTAAATGTTGCCAGTGACATCTGTTTTCTGTCTAATTGTTTACCAGTGAATTAAAACAAAATTCCAATTTACTTAGAAAATGAAGCGATTGGGTTGGGTGACTAGGGGTGGCGGTTGGAGGGAGTCCATATACACTTGTAGCACTCCTGCAGATCCAGACTAATGTGTTTTCATTTAACAGAGCTGAGGTTGGAACATTCTAATAAATTAAACACAATTAAAGGCGTGGGTTTGAACGCAGAAGAACTAAGCAGTTCTGCTTTGAAATGTCCTCTTTTATAGATCCAAAGGCCTATATATAATTTCATATCTTGCCATTAACCCTTTGCATTACAACGTGACAGTCCCAGATGATTTCTCCTAATTGAGCAGTCGGTCCAGATGGACCCAACAACGATATGATTTTTTTGGCAGTGGCAGAGTACCACTAGAGCCAAGTATTCTCTGAATATTTTTGTTTTTCATTTTCTTTCTTTTCACAAGAACCAAACATGATTCATGTGTGTGCTCTATTATGACACAATGAATAGTCAAAAATCAATGCCATTATTAAATAACATGAAAAAACATAGTGAGGGATGAAGCACAATAGAAGAAAGTGAGTCAGCTATAGGAGGAGACCGAGTCAAGTAGCTCAGGGGGTGAGGCAGTTGCTTTTAAGTCAAAGCAGGCAGCAGTCTGGGTTGGCAGGCTGCATCAGAAGGGCATAGGTTAGTCTTCCACATGGACCCAGCTGAGAGCCAGGGACATATCATCCTTCTGATGCCTGTATTCCTTGACTGGTATTAGATCTATAAATTATCTGTAAATTTAATCAGAGTAGAGCAATGCCTTAAGGTTCACTAGGACCAGAAATCCTTTGCCATGTCATACAGAATGACCTTCAGTGCTACACTAAGTGTAAATTATCAGTGCTACTCAAGAGACAGCTTGATCATTTTGATCCCTGGACAGTGGCTGGCTGGCTGGCTGAATGACTATTCTCCTTGGCTTGGTCTTGGGCCTGTCACTGCTGATGGATGGGAAAGACTAAGGGGGCCTTGGACGGGGCCAGTGCGAGGGAGTGGAGGGCTAGAGGGCGTGTGAGGAGCTGGGGTTTATGCTGAACCTCAGGGCGAGCGGCAGCCTGCAGGTGTTCCCCCCCTCCCCACCGTCCACCACCCCGACTTGCACCAGAGGAGGAGGGACCAAGAGGGTCGGGTGGGCTTTGTGATCAT